GGCCACCCTGGACTCTGCATCCCCCTGAAGCGTGAGGCCCCCCCAGAGCATGGTAAGCCCAAACATTGGTGGAGCCAGGCCCACGTTCCTGAATATTGATGGAGCACAGGCACCATGGGCCCGTATAACTCCCCCCTATGGTCCTGAGTGCTTGCTGACCTCAATCACACTGATCTGTATGTGGACAGAAGGAGGGTTTGGACTCAAACTTGAGTCAGAGCCTGGGCTTAGCGTGCGGTGTAGATATACCCCTAGATGGTACAGCAATACTAGCAATCATAAACCCATATGGTCACCACACCGGGCATTAAACCCCTATTGTATTCAATTTTTTGAGTAATTTCTCAGTCACAATTATAAAAAAGTACACCAGTATAAGGATCACTCACTATTAATTAAAAACTTGCCTCTACATGAAAAGTGGTATGCTGTATAAGAGTCCAATGCGTTACTGAAGTCTCCACTATGCTTTAATACATGAATAAACACACAAAAGAATAACAAAGTCAATAATACAAAGTTAAATCTTGCAAAACATTTCAAAAGTTTTTCTCCCAATTGTTACAGTAATATTATAAAAATTGCTTTTAAACATCAGCTAACAAGTTAAAACACGAGATACGACATTACTAACAAGATCTAATCTCTGAAACTGTTTTATATGGTTAAGGCTATTATAAAGTAAGATTAATAAACCCTTGAGCACATGTAGTTTTGAAAGATACAGAAAAGTAGTGAAGATTTCATATTGCAGGCCTTTATAAACACAACACTGCAGTTACAAAGAAAAGGGGGTACACAGGTGTAGTTGCCAAAAAGACAAGTTTTAGATTTCAAAAACAGGTATAGTCATTAGGGACAATAGCAGAGAGGGACAATACTACTTTAGTATTAACATACTGTACTACCCTGTCCACCTTCTTCCCATTTTGTAATAAATGGAAATGGAATTTAGTCTTAAATAAGAGTCAATTTCTGCATTTACATTATTAGCTAAACTAAGTTCTTACCCCAAATTCCTGTTACTGAGATCTCCAGGCTATAAGAACCTTCCAATACAAACTTATCTAACTCGAATACCTAAAATGCAAGGGTTTGCTTTTCAAATTATCACAGTTCTCTATTACACCCCAGGAAAAACTTTAAATGGCACAACTGCCATATTTATACTGAATGTAATGGCTAACAAACACTCATGTCAACAAAATCACAGCAAACAGTTACCTTAAATAGACTATGCTTCAGCAAGAAACTGATAAAATACTTCTCTTCAATCACAAAGTACTAATACTTAGGCTCTTTAAAACTGGGAGCAGGAGTTGCAGGTCACATGCTTCTGCTTGCTCCTAGTTATGTGCCATACAGGAAGACATATATAGGACTTCCTGCCTTTTAGGTACAGCAGCTGAGAAGGTGACCACTGAGCTGCAGCTGGCAGGCAGAGGGCTGGAAAAGGGACACCTGCAGGAATCAGCAGCTGCCTATGGGGAGAAGTCTCAGCCAGGAAGTGTGTGAAACCCTGAAGGCAAGCCCGTAAGGGCTGCAAAGCCTGGAAGACAAGACTGGGACAAGACCCTAAGGAGCTATGAGGCATCTGTGTTGTGTTGAACTTTGACAATAACAAAGTTGTGAAAAAAAGTGGAGCAGTAGCTTTGGGGCATGGTTTTACTGTCCCTGGCCAGTGGGTCAGCTCATCAGCCTAAGTCTTGTCTACATGGGGAACCTGACAAGGATCTATTGCAAAATAGCTTATTCCACAATAGCTACTGGTGTGAACACTTATGGAATAAAAAAGTCAATTTATTCCATAAAATAATTATTTCACTTTGGAAGCACACAAATTATTCTTGGAATAAAGTGACTTTTATTCTGAATTGGAGTGTCCAAATACAGAGTTATTCTGAGACAGCTACTGAGGAATAACTAGCTATTTTGATCTATTTCCTTGTGTAGGTAAGCCCTTGCACACAGTCAATAGGGCAGAAAAGTAAGGAAACTGAAGCCGAGAGCTAGGGAAAAGAGTCTAGTTCAAGAGACGTCTGACAACGTTTCCCAAATGCACCCAGACTACAGTTTAGATGTATTCCAGATACCTAGATATATTTCAAGGGCCTGTTGCTGGAAATACACTGCTTCAGGCTCCTTTCACACTTACTCCAGGGAAAGAGCTTAAACATTTCAGATGAACGCAAATACTAAGGTGTGTTAAAAGTCAGACAGCTTGAAGTACTTATACTATTCCTGGGTTTGTAAACAACAACAACCTGAATGTCATTTATAAGGTAACCGGCACCCTGTGCATTAGGTGGATATTTTATGCTCTTGTTGGACTAGCTTATTCAGAAAGCAGGCAGGCAAACACATTCTGCACTAACAAAAACTTCAAGTGATAGTCCATTAGTAGAGCTGGCCCTGAGTGGAGCATATTACAGTTGACTAGCCTCGTGGAAACAAACATATGGGTAAAACAAGTGCACCAATTTGTGACAATAGATATTAATGACGAAATTCTGCTCTCACATATAAATGTAGACTTCCCATTGAAATCAGTGAAAATTTTGCATATATATCCAAGAGCAGAATTCCAGTTTTGAGAGAGTTGTTGGTTCATATGTCAGTGCAATACATTTTGTTCAAGTACAAACTACGGAGTTTTCCACTTTCATCAATGAGCAGCGCCCCTTCCATTTTCCTTTTTGTGTCCAAATTTGGAAGTCAGAGGGTGTCAGTACACCATACAGATACTTTTAAGAGTTCCAATCAACTGTCTAAAAGAGAATTTAATTAAAAGTTAGGATGAATACATGAGGAAAGACCGTAGGAAAAAGTATGTCTTCAAATGTTCAGTAATATCGATAACACAGAACATGGGTTTCTATGTCACATGCACTATAAATTCTGTACCATTACATTTAATAATCAGTAGAAACACAGGTCTACTATGTCTCCCTTTCATAAAGCACTAAGATCCCTACCCACATTCTAAACAGCTGGCTTAGGGTCAGATAGGATTTGTATTTCTGTGAAATGCCCTGCTCAACCATTACTGTGGCTGTATCTAATGTCAACTTGCTACCCTTACATTGAAGTTTCTTCTGTTGCTTCAAAGATTGTGAAGGTGTGTGTCTCCTTTTGGTGTAGATGTGTATTCCTGGCTTTTGTACTCTCTCTCTCTAGCATGTGTAGCCTAGGGAAAAAATGTTCAAATTAAGAGGAAGACCGAAAAAAATCAGTTTCCCCTTGAGTATTTAAAAAGGAAGTAGTGGTTGAGAGCCATCAAGCGAAAGTACTCTATTATTTCCACTCTTACAGAACTTGATCATTTGATATTTCATTTTCTTCCATCAAGTAAATTTTAGCAGAAACTAGGGATATAAATAGTGTTTTAAAAAGTTAACTGATTAAACGATGAAAATGATATTGTTTAACTGGGTTAACTTCTGGGGCCGCTCCCGCCAGGCAAACAGCTATAGGCCTAAAGTCCTATATCCTTGGAAAAAGCATACAAAGCAATGGCAACACAAGCTTCTCTATGCTGCCCTACTAGAATGTCTGATTCTGCATTGGATAAATCCTTTAGTGCTTAGGGTGATTCTGTCTCCATTTTCATTCAACGTTTGACCTCTCTGACAAGACTAGCGAAGAAGTCAGTTGTGGTGGTGAGTTGCAATGTGGACATATGACTTCTAAAAAATGGATGGACACCGTAACTAAGCTTTTAATGAATAAACAACCTGAAAAGTTACAAAAATGGAAGATCCTCAAGCCACATTGAATATATATTCTAGAGCTTAATAATATATAAATACCAAAACTACTTATCCTCAAAGCCATTTCACATTTAACTGAGAAAAATTCCTACAACTGTAGTAAGAGTTAATGAAAGAGCTCTATGAAATGACATTTTAAATTAATCACTAGTTAGAGATGTCTACCATGGTCAGTGATTTTTTAAAAAGTTATGTTGTCTACACAACAGGCTTTCATAACCAAATACTATTCTTCTCACATTTCAAAAAATAAACTTAGCATTGCACTTTGCATATACTAGTTCGTTAATTCAGTTTCAACAAGAGTTTTAAAATATTTTACTGATATGTAGTGTTTAATAAAGTACACTTTACTGAAGCATTGTCAGATTCCGTTTGTATAATGTCTGTACAGAAATTTAAAGTGGCTTAAATGCCAAGTGAGATGTTAAGAACCTTTCACTGGTTTCCATTCACAGTTCACTTTACATTATGTAGATAATTAGATCTTAAATACACCGTTACCTCGATATAACGTGACCCGATATAACATGAATTTGGATATAACGCGGTAAAGCAGTGGTCGGGGGGGGGGGAGGGAGAGCTGCGCACTCCGGTGGATCAAAGCAAGTTCAATATAACCCGGTTTCACCTATAACGCGGTAAGTTTTTTTGGCTCCCGAGGACAGCGTTATATCGAGGTAGAGGTGAACTGAATAGAAATGATTTTACAGTAAAATGGAGGATATACAACTCAGATACCAAAATAAAGAATCCATCACAAGTTCATATGGTGGGAAAAAGCCTAATGTCAACAGCATTTCTAGTTGCCTTTCCAAAGAGCTTATTTTCTCTCCTTTTGAAAATAACTGTAGTTTGAAGGAAAAAAAGTCAGTTACTTTCATAAGGATTCTAAGGCCTGTTCTACAGGAGAAAATTAAGGTGTCTTCATGATGAAAAATCCATACCCACAAGCAACATCATTAAGCTGACCTAACGCCCGCTGTAGACAGTGCTATGTCAACAGAAGAATTCTTCTATCAACCTAGCTACTGCCTCTCATGGAGGTGTATTACCTACACCCATGGGAGAATCCCTCCCATTGGCAATAGGTAGTGTCTACACTGAAGCACTACAGCACCTTAAGTAGTAGCAGATTGTTTTACAAAAATGCAGTTGACTGACTTTCTTTTACAGTTAAGACATTCAGAATAGATCTATGATTCTATGATAATAGCATATTCTGTCTAGTCATCTCAGCTTGTGTTATGAAGAAATGCAAGTCAGTATCAGGAGGCAAACGAGTCACAATTCAAATTTGCCTTAAGAGAAAAAACATGAGACTTCTGTCTTTATAGATCTTTTCCGTTCCTTGAAGGAGTTTCAAATAAGACAGCCAATCACAGTAACACTATGTTTGAAGAGTACTATTTGGATATTATTGCTTTCCAAAAAGATGCATAATTTTTAGCAACCATTATGTCTTTGGGAAATTACCTTAGCAAGATGATGTACAGCATCTACTTCTCTCCTATTTTACATTCCAGAAGGGAACATCAATACATATGTTGAGCCCCAGTAGTTTTGAAAGTTCAAGACAAGGTTGTGTATTTAACATTTCTATTAAGTAGAAACCAGAGTCTTCACAATCAGGATTGGAGCTCCTATTCTACATTCTCTATAAAGACTGACAAAAGCACAGTCCCTGCCCCAAAGAGCTTAGATTGTAAGACAAACAACATATAAAAAGTGGAGGCAGGATAAAATTCGATACATATTGCTTTTTTAAAAATTACAAATTGATTTTTTAGGTAGAGGTACAGTATACCTCAAAGTTATGAACACCAGAGTTACGAACTGACCAGTCAACCACACAACTTGTAGGGGAACGCTCCAGACTCTCTTGGAGGTGGCTGTTCATCCAGTTGAGTATTAGAGAGCTTTGGGGAATGGAAAAAGAGACTGATCAGCACAAAAAGCCACCTACTGCAGGTTAGAAAATGTAGGAATAAAGTGCGAGTTGCTAAAAGTCAAGCTGAATTAGCTCTTGCCAAGGAAACTAAAATAAAATTATAAGGTTTTTTAGTCATACAAATAAAAAGAATAAGGAAGGATGAGGCTGGGACACTATTCAGTGGATGTGATGGAGGTTAAAGATAATATAGGTATGGCCCAAAAATTAAATGAATACTTTGCTTTGGTTTTCACTAAGGATGATCATATGGAACATAGGCATGAAGGCAGGACAGCTGATGGAAACAAGTATATAGAAATGGAAACTAACACATCTGAGGTGAAATGAAAGCTTAAAGAGCTCAAATCGAGGGTGTTGGGGAGAGAAGGGAAGGACCAGATAACTTCCATCCCAGAATACTGAAAGAACTGGCACATGAGATTTCTAACCCAATAGCAAGGATTTTTAATACATCTATTTACTCAGAAGTAACAACATATTGCTGGAGAAACAATTAATGTTGTATATTTAAGAAAGGGGGGCGGAAATGATCTGGGCAATTACAGTCCTATTAGTTTGACCTCAGTAGCATGCAAGGCTTTAAAACAAACTGTGAAGGAAAGAATATGTCCATGAATTTAATTAAACAGTAAAGGGGATATAATGCAACACTGATTTGCCAAGATAGATCATGCTGAACAAACCTGATTTCCTTTTTTGAGAAAACAATCAATTTTTAGATAAGGTAATGAAGTACAGTAGAACCTCAGAGTTACGAACTGACCAGTCAACCACACACCTCATTTGGAACCGGAAATACACAATCTGGAAGCTGCAGAGACGTAAGAAACCCAAAATGAAATACAGTACAGTACTTTGTTAAATGTAAACTACTTAAAAAAAAAAACACACACAACACAGCATTTTTCTTCTGCATAGTAAAGTTTCAAAACTATATTAAGTCAATGTTCAGTTGTGAACTTTGAAAGAACAACAGTAATGTTTTGTTCAGAGTTACAAACATTTCAAAGTTACGAACAACCTCCATTCCCGAGGTGTTCATAATTCAGAGGTTCTATTGTAGGTCTAATATACTTGGACTTCAGTAAAGCATTTCACATGGTACCACATGGGAAATTATCAGTTAAATTAGCACAAGAATGATACTGTGGATAAAGAACTACCCAAAGGGGAGAAGGCAATGAGTTGTGCTGAAATGTGAACTATCAGACTGGAGGAAGGTTACTAGGGGAGTTCTTCAACAACTGTATCTCATCAATACAGAGAAGGAGAAGAAAATTATAAAGGAAGATCTGGATGACATTGAAGACTGGACTAACAGAAATAGGATGAAATTTGATAGTACAAAGTCATGCACTTAGGGTCGAATAATAAGAAATTTCATCTACATGCTGGGGGCTCATCAGTTGGAAATGACAAAGGAGAAAACAGACCTGGATGTGTTGCTCGATCACTATACAACTATGAGCCACCAATATGATTCAGCTGTGAATAACGCCAATGTGATCCTAGGATGCATCAGGCGAGATTGAGAAATATTAATGCCATTGCACAAAGCAGTGGTAAAATCTCATTTGGAATACTGTGTACAATTCTCCTCATCCGTGTCCAGAAAGATGAATTGAAACTGGAACAGGTGCAGAAAAGAGCTAGCAGGATGATCGGGGAATGGAGAGTCTATAATATGAGAAGAAACTAGAAGAGCTTCACTTGTTTAACCGAGCAGAGGGGGATAGGATTGCTCTCTATAAATACATTAGGGCAATAAACACAAGGAGGGTGAAAAAGCAATTTAAGCTAAAGGACAATGTTGACAAGAACAAATGGGTATAAACTAGGCATGAACAAATTCAGGCTGTAAATCAGAAGGTTTCTGCTAGAGACAGAAAGCTTGACAAATTTATTAATGTGATTGTACAACAGAGGTGCTTATGATAGTAGGGGGGAGGGCTAAACATCTCATTTCAGCTTTGTCTCTTGTGTTCAGAAAGGGATTTCCCACCACTCACCCACACTGCTGGCCCACGAACCACTGCTTAAGAGTCATTGTGATAAGGGATTTATCAATATGAAATGTTCATGTGTTAACATCTTCAAAAATTTGGAGTACCTTTACTAGTTTTTTCCCCTATATTTGCTCCCAGATGCAATAAAACACAACTCAAACACTAAATATCTCAAATACTTGGTTCTTAAAGACTGTTTGTGTAACTATTAAGGTTTTAAAACGTAAAATGAGTTACATATACTACAAAATATTGTTGACATTTAGAAAACTTGCCTTACAGATAATCTACACGCCACCCCCACTTTTTGTTGCAATTTCCTCAAAACACCTGGAAGTAACAGCAAAACTTAAAACTGAACAGAGAATAGCACTGCTAGGAACAGTTGTGACTGACATCCAGTGCAATTAAAAAAAAAAAAAATCACCCCACACCAGGAATTCAGTCAACTATCACAGCTAACATCTGCAAAATAAGGAAAAGCAAAAAGTTGAACTGAAGAAAGCCTGTGAGAAGTGCTACTGAGATGTGTCTCACAAAATTTCAATAAATGGTTATTATAAACAAGTATGAGGGCCAGAAGCCCGGTCTTACAAAACCAGGAGATCTGCCTGGTGCCCAAGATGATTTTTTTAATAGCACCCTGTATAAGATGTTTGGATTAGCTAATAGACACCAAGAGTATGTCTACATTGCAATCAAAAACCTGCGGCTGCCCTGTGCGAGCCAACTCAGACTCATAGGGCTAAGGCTGCAGGATTGTTTCATTGTAGTGTAGACTTATGGACTCAAGCTGGGACCTGGGCTCTAGGACCCTGCAAGGTGGGAGGGTCCCAGAGCTCAGGCTCCAGCCCAAGCCCAGAAGCCTATACTGCAATGAAACTGCGCCACAGCATGAGCCCCGCAAGCCCAAGTTGGCTGGCCCGGGCCAGCTGCGATGCCTAGTTGCAATACAGACATACCCTAAGTGATTCTGCAGCCTTATGAAAGCCCACTCACAGAATATATGCACAAAATTGACACTACCTGCAGAAAAATCTAGTTTAGTGTCTAATGTAATTGAACAGTTACTGCATTACATTACTTGTTTATCATTCCTAGAGGACCACCTGTTTATCAGAGTTGCTGAACATGCACTGCTGGAAACATTTTTAGATAATAAGCTCCTCCACTGCAAACAGGAAGAGCTGCATAAGGGAAAGGAGCTGTCAGCAAGGAACAGTCAGCACCATCTCATTTTCCCTACACTAAGATTGGTGATGGAGATGCTGTGGGTGAAAAGCTCAACGTATGAGCATCTTTTGCCCAATGAGAGTGGGCTAACAGTTCCTGCAAATGAACATCCACCTGTAGTGTTTGTAATCCCAATATAAACAACAACCCAAACACCACATGTTAACCAGGAAGCATAACGGATTCGAAACCAAAATGACAACATTTTTTCATAGGTTATACTTACAGAAAACCAGAGTTAACTGCAAACGTAGTGAAACAAGCCTATTTTTAACTATTCCGTTTTAATAGTCTGAAATGTTATTGTAGTACAATCAGTTTTTAAAATTATATGTATACTACTTGTTATAGTCAATTACACGGGACAGAGCTTTTTCTTTCCTTTTTCACAGCATTAACTGTAGCCATTTTTGAAGCTTTGAATATGCAGCTGACATTGAAAGAGCTCTCTCATTCAGCAATATCCTTTTTCAAACAGGGTGATAAATACTCAACATAGTATTCCAGATGATGGCAAACAATTGCTTTATATGATGGTTTATAATATTTTTTTATATTCTTCTTCATTCCTTATGTATCCTGACATTGTTTGCTATTTTTTAAGTGTCAGCTCCCACTAGATAGAGATTTTCATTCATCTGTCCACAGTGATGCCCAGGTCCTTTACTGGAGCGGATACTGTTAATTTAGATACTGGTAGGGCATATTATTAGTTCTAATTTTTTCCTCCAATATTCATTACTTATTTTTCCCCATAGATTTTTAAGACCAGGTCATCTAGCTTGATCTGCTTTATGAACATTAAAACTTAAACTACCATCACACTACTCATTCATTTAGCTTGGTTAGATCCCGCTGAAGCTCTTCCTAGTCCTCTCTGGACTTGACTAACATAATAATTGACATTTTTGCAAACTTTGTAACCTTACTACTCAACCCCTTTTCCAGACTGTACATGCATTAAACATCACCTGTCCTAGTACTGAACCCCATGGCAACCCGCTTCAGCTTCTGCATTAATGAAAAATTAACCACATATTCCTAACTCTTCCTCCCTCCCCTCCCCCCCCCGCCATCTCTTGTTTTTTGATTCATGACAATACTTTGTCTCTCACCCTATGGCTAATTAGTTCCTTTAAAAGCCTCTGGTGAAAGGACCTTTTTGAAAGCCTAAATATCTGAAAGGAATTTCAGGGTTCCACCAAGGACTTTTACTCTAAATTGTTAATGTTCTAACATTTCGGCCTGGAAGAACTTACACCCAGAGTTCTACAGTATTTGAAGTTGCAATTTTTCAAGGCATAAGAAGTTCAGGGCTTGAGACTGTCTTATATGTAAATAGATTTTTTTAAAAATTTTTACATGTGAATAGTTTATATATTTTTTATATGTTTTGGGTGTGGAAGTAAAGGGATGCTGAACAATTATTTTATTAAGAATTTCATAGACTTAGCACATCTTTTTCCTCTCTCAGCCTAATTCATACCTTCTTTTATACCAGCCCTAAATTTGGGACAAACTCCCACTTCCCATATGTCAAGTAACCCACCCTCTCTTTCCAATCCCTCCTTAAAGTGATGACTCAATCTGTAATATAATATTTAAAAAATAAGCTAGAAGTAGTTTCAGGTAGTACTTGCCCCCAAAAGCTTGAGACCAGTTTTTATGATTTAACAACTTTATGTTTCTCTTTCCTGTCTACTGTTGAGTGAAATCCCACAAGCAAAGCAGGGTATTACTGTCTACCCAAGGAAAACAGTAAAACTGGCTATTTTTAGAGTGCTGCCAAATACAAAGGAAACTTTTTTAAAGATTTTTTTCCGTCCCCTTTTTGTTACAGTGATCTTCAGTGCAACTTCTAACAGTAATTTTTTTTCCAGACAGTATTACTTCTAACAGCATTTTTTTCAGACAGAAGTGCAGATTTTAGTTACATGTGACCCTTTAAACCAGGGGTTCTCATCGCGAGGTTATTAATTTGGGGGGGGGGGAAAGGAGTCCATGAGCTGTCAGCCTCCACCCCAAATCCCGCTTTGCCTCCTGTATTTATAATGGTGTTAAATATATTTAAAAGTGTTTTTAATTTAGGGGAGGGGGTTGCACTCAGAGACTTGCTATGTGAAAGGGGTGACCAGTACAAAAGTTTGAGAACCACTGCTTTAAACCCTATTTAATCCCTATTTTCACTTGGCTTTCTATTACAGATTTCCCTCAAAACCTGTCCCCACTTTCACACACCATTTTTTTTTAAACTGTTAGTACTATTTTAGTCTTTCATAGCTCCCTGCCGAAAGAAGCTTACATCTTTTTCACACATATGAAAGCACACTATACAAAGTATGGTACTGAAATCTTTCAACAGAAAGTTCCATGACATTTTTAAACAGTGATTTAGTGTAGCACATGTAGCAGCACCAAAACCAGTATGGCACCCAGTCATTCTCAAATAAGATTGGTATCCAGGATGGATAAAAATAAGTTCTCTTAAAAAACAACCTATTTAAATTAATTTGAAATTGACATTTAAATTAAGGCCTAAACACTATAACCTATTAAAATTATTTAAATTAAATAAAAAAATATGCAAGCAGTATGTCTGCCACCAAGTTTCAAAAGAAAGTCAAGCTATTGACTAAGCACCCGGAATCAGAGCTTGCTCAAGTGCTGCTAAACCAGCAGTAGCCTCTTCTGCAAGTACAGAGAGCGCAAACTGAGAAACCAATTAGGATTGAAAAAGCAGGAAAGCTTGTTTTCCTCTTCCAATCTATGAATAAAAACTAGGTGGGATGATGAGTTCGCCCTGTAGTAAAATCCTGAAGGACATGGAGATACCAATTCACTAACTACAAATGGTTTTTAAAAGTTAAATCATTTTAAATGTAAAACATGTTTTGGTAAACTTTTTTCTTATTGTCCAGAACATAAGGTCATTGTCTAATAGAAGAATTAAATGCTGGTTTTTGTCCACTTTTCACTGAATTCCAATTTCCATCCAAAGAGTTGACACAAATTACAAGTAAAAAATTAATCTTATTTAGAAAATGGTGAATGATGCATGTCTAACATAACTAAACATTAAAAATCTGAATAAATGTATACTGAGGTATATAATTACTTAAATAAATGTATATAAATACAATTTAGACTCCTGGTTACCAAAAAGCACCAAGTTTACTGTAAAGACTATATTTACTTGCACATCAATATGTTTTACTGGTTACCAATGGATGAAAATCAACTTTTAAAAGAAAAAAAAAAAGAAAAGTAACTAAAAAGCACAAATGCAAAATAGAATTAAAACTGATTGTTGAAATTATGGTTTCCTGATTAAAAAAATCAGTCTAGTTTACTGGTACCTCAAATCATTATGCCACTTGCAATGCACTTCTATGAAAATTTCTCCCCGTTATAAAATATTTTTTAAATTACTGCCTAAACTGTCACAAAAGGTCGATTTAATAAGGTGTTCTATTCCATCTGCAAGCTTTTGAGCAATGATTACAGTATTACGTTAATCAGTAAGACAAAGATGCTAGATCATTGGTGGGCTAATGACATTCCTGGGTAAGAGTGGTTATTATAATGGCTGGCTCTGCTAACCATTCGTTATTTCAGTGTTTGTGTGCAAATGTTACTAGCATGTTTAATGATTTAATTATTGTGTTTTTTGTTTGCACTCTACAAGCACTGCAGGTTTTGTAAGAGTAAGGAATTATAAGCAATATAGCTGAATATTTTTGTGATTCATCATAAAGGAAAATTCAAGGACCATATGTATCTGTCTTCCAGCTGCCTTTTCACTACAATGTTTTTATTTATTGTTGTAAGAATCCTTGGGACTAGAACCCATGTCTGCAGAGTTTAGGATAGCTGATGTTATCACATCGTCACTGAGAGGCCCTACAAAGCCACATCCAAGGAGCACTGTGGAGACTAAGCACAGCAAGAAGTGTTGCCCAAAAGGTCTAGAATGACAGCATCCTGCAGCCTTCCGATTGGCCCAAGCTCACTATTTAACCCAGAATGCTGTCTAAACAACTACGCAGTAGGCCAGAAGTTTAACTCCAGAGTTCACTTCACTTTCTGTTCTCCAGTCTCCAACTCCAGCCTGATGCTGATCCTGACTCTTGCCTGTCCTTCCCAGCTAGCAATTACTCCAACCCCAGTTCATTGACTACCACCTCGTGACTGTCCTTGACTTAGGGACACCAGCCCAGTCATAACTGCTAGGCCAGATTGTAAGGGACTGGGGTGTAGGCAATCATATTGTGATATCATTAAAACTACATTCTCCCCACACCCTAAAAAAAAACCACACACCTTAAACTTGTTGCAATTTATTGCTCATATAGGAATCCAAGCAGACCCCGAGACTGAACTCCCCCATTTAGCCACACACCAGATATACAATTCAAGTTGCCCCACGTTATTACACCAGCATGCTTCAACCCTGTTTCAGAAGGACCACCTTCAAGAAAGAAAATGTAGTGGATTCTCCATTCATTCCTGGGTATCTGCCAAAACTACCAACAAAATTACCAGTTACGGTGATGGGTTTATTATGTGGACATCTGTCCAGAAGTACTTAACCAAAGCCAGCTTCTCATATGTTATAGGCCCATCCACCATCAAATGCCTACATCTTTTATTCACTACCAATCTGGGCAAATCCAGACCTGTAACTTAAAAATGAAAGATTAAGTAAAATCCAGAGTCATGCAAAGAAAATGAAGCAATTTAAAAACTCATTTATTGGATTTCTGTCAGTGAGTCTAAAACTAACCACTCTTGACTAAAAGTAATTCAGCTGCCTATGTTGTAAGCTCTGCCATCAATTTAGTTGATTTGCCCAACATCAAAGTCGCTCTGTGCATCAGTTTAACAATCTGTAAAAATATTCACTGACCTTACAAGATTGTTGTGAGGCTTAATTATGTTTGTAAAGCACTGAGAAAGGATGGACGGCATTATATGCAAAAATATATGTCAGAAATGCTAGACTAGATTGGAACAGACATTTTAGGTGACTGAGTCCAACCCACTACGTCAAACAGGAAAGACCACATATATAATCTCAAATTGAAAACATTAAGTTTTATAGACTGATGTTATGATCCGAAATGGCTATTTCCAATGTGACGAGTAAGTATCTCATATACCGCATTATGCAGAATATAAAAAAATCTAGTAAAATATTAATTCACATAAACAGTAGTTCATGATAATTATGTGTAAGCAACTTCAAAGTCATGACACAACCCAGCCTTAAGAAATTAAACTCTCTACTTGTCCCATCATGCCTAAGTATTGAATAACATATGGTAATTATCAGAAGATTTAAGAACTCTTACTGTACCATGTTGCTCCTTATGCTGGGTCACAATTTTAAACAACAGTTGGTTACCTGACTATTCAATTAGAATTAACTGAATTATTGAAAAGTACTTCATAGAAGGACATATACAGTAAGAGAAGCATCAGAGTACAAAACTGAACAGTAAATAAGGAAGCACTAGGCCAGGGAATTTTTAATACACATTTTAAAAGCACACTGCTTTTTGAGTGACTGAAGCTTGTGAACAGCTTTTGCTATTAGTTAGCAATTGAAATTTAACATGATAGCTTAAAATAGCTTTGTTTAACCCAGGTCAGTCCCTAGTGGACAAAACTAGTATTACAAAGCCCCTAAACTTCATTTTATGACAGCCATCATCTTTATTTGAGAGGGCCAGGCCCAGGTTAAGATAACATACTGCATATTTTAACTCCATCTCATTAGCAATGAGAGCAGATTTCACAGGCCATTAATTATAATCACTGCAGCTAATGTTATCCTGATAGCACATAAGTTAATACTAAAATATTTTGTCCCACCTTCAAAATATGGAAGTACATAGAATACCATATAAAACAGATTTTAGCCATTTATACTGCTTTGTTTTTGTGACAGTTGCTCAAAATGACATGTTCTACCACTAAAATTGTGAGCCTTTTACCCAATATAAAATACATTGTACATATTAGAAAGACTAAACATTTGTTTATACACAATGAACTGTGCTTTAGGAAAAACAACAATTCTCTTAGAGAAATGCTCCCTAAATTTATAGTAACAAGTTTCCAAAATCAGCATTTGCTTACCGTAACTTTTTCAGGTTTTATATTTCAGTTTTTGTGTTACATAGAATAAGACTTCTGACACCATACTTTTGCAGGAATGAACAAGGGAAATCTTCAGGATCCACCAGTTCCCTCTGCTAACAATTTTATGTTTGTATGATGTTTAATAAATCCTGTTCTCAAGCTTTTCCTTTAGCAGGGCTTTATCAATTTAACTGAAAATCAGAATTCGTGATGACAACATACACCTTACTTGCTTCAAATGTAACCATACTGACTATTTAGAGGGAAACTTCAAGCCAGTTGCAATTTACAGGAACTTGTAGAAACCCAATCCTTGATTAAAATAATCTAGTATTTCATTAATTATTCTCTCTCTTACAAACACAAATGGACTTACCTTGCCTGTCTTGTGGTCAAACCAGACAAGGGCATGGTTCCTGGACAGCACTTTACAGTCAAAAGTAGCATTATTCTGAGCTGGCCGGCAGCGAGCCACCGAACGGCCGATTTTGACAGGCTCGTCCAGGTAGACATGACGCTCCTGAAATGGGTGAGAGTTCGGGCGGCAAGTGAAGATAGCCAAGGCTGAAGGCATCGAGGACAGATTGGGGATGTCACGCCAAACAGGGATGAAGAGAAACTCTTCCTGATCCAGACGGCCTTCAACAAATTTTTATCCCCAATCTCCCCAGCAATTTTACATTAAAGCAGGACAAATGTTACCTGTACATGAGATGCCTAACAACTCATTGTTGCAGTGTGTAAACTGATCCTGGCAATAATCCAGTGAAAAAGCCCCATTATGTCCTTTAATAGTATCAGCAGCACCCTGGAAAAAATCTAGAAGGTGCAACTTTCAATCCATGCTCATCAGGAAGAACAGGAACAAACATCTGACTTCACAGAAGAGAAGCAAGACTCCCTGAAGGTGGAGATGTCTTTAAATCCAAGAAGATGAGTCACACACAAATACTTGTGTTGGGGATTCAGACTGCCTTCTTTTTTTCCTTCCGTAAACAGCACTTACCAAAATTTTGACCAATGCAGCAGGAAAGCAAGGAAAGATTTAGGGGGCGGGGGGCAAGGAATAAAAAAGGTTTAGCGTCCAGGCAGCCTCACAGCCCAGATCAAGAGTTGGAGAACGCGTATGAAGCATTCGCTCCACAAAAGACAGTCCGTTTAGTTGATCCACATGACAGTCCACATTTCATCTTCGTCAGGCAGTAAGATAAAGTAGAGTGGGTGGTCCTCGACTAGAGGTAGCAAAGCTACACTGGTCTCTTCCCCTACACCAGAAAAAACTGACCTGAGGCTAGGAGTTTCAATAGGCCACTCAGGTAAGGAATTTGATAAAGGGTGGAGAAGGGCTTCAAACTCTTCGCTACCCGGGGAGAAACTAAGAGGAATGGTCTTCCAGGACGAACTGAAGGGGCGAGGGCCTCCTCAACTCGGAGGAGAGGTGGCAGACAGGGGGCTTGCAGGAGCTCACGAAGGTTGGGCTGACAGAAGGAGGGATCGCCCCTCAGATTGGCGGGGCGTGGATGTCTCAGTGAGGCGGGTTGCCTTAGGAGGGCAGGGGATGTTTCTCACGGGGGCTAGCTACCAGTAAGTCTCCGGGAGATCCCCCCCTGAGGTGTCCCGCCGCCCGGCCAAAGGGGGAGGGATCTGCTCCGCTCAGGGTCTCCGCAGGTGGCTGCGCATCGGGATGCCGTTTGTCGCTCTCTCCTGAGGAGCAAGGTCTCCGCTAGCCCAGCGGGGCTGGCCCTGCTCCGGCTACGGGAGAGGCCTGGAGGCCGGGCCCGGATGCCTCCCGCTCAGTGTCGTTCTCAGGCGGCCGCCGACAACGAAAACTTTCTTCTGACCTGCAAAACCAAAACAAACCCGATGAGGCTGAGCCCCGGCCTGGCGGCCCCCTGCCCCGGCCCGGGGCTCCCCGGCCCAGCGAATGGCAGAGGGGCACGCGAGCGCTCCTCTCCCTCCCTTCTTACCTTCGCAGCCGCCATAGTGACTGGAAACCTACCCGGTGTAGTAGCAGCAGCAGCGCTGCCGGGGAGGGGAAGGGGGGGCTGGCACCCGGGAGAGGGAGGAGCCGCTCTGAACTGGGCCTGACCGAAGGATCAGCCAGCGACCGCCTACCCTCTCCTGCGCATGCGTCGATCTCGCTCGCACAGCAGTGCGCAGATGTGGAGCGCGTGCACCTGCGTGCTGGGTACAATGAAGCCTCGGCGGAACTTTGTTCCCCAGCCCTGACCCTGATGTCTCCTGTGGGCTCCGCTTCCGGGTTGGAGAGTGAGCAGCGAGGGGAACCGGGACGGCGCTTGGAGGGTGTGGCGTGGGGCGGGGCCGAGAGAGGCTTTCCCGAGAGGTTGGCACACAGGAATGTTGTCCTCCGTGAAGAGCGGGTGGAGGGATGTTTCCCAGAGAAGAGGGGTGTTGCTCTGGGGCTGATGGAGGAGGAGAGAAAAAGCCATCGCCCCAAAGCTGGAAAAGGAGGTTCCATTGAGGAAGGGTTAGAAGAAGGTGGAGCAGTCGGGACTCAGAGATGCTGCCCCTGAAAGTGAGAGTGGCTGAGTTGGGCGGATCCCAGTGCCCTTTCTCCACACACACACACACACACACAGTGGGGAAGTTACTAAAAACCTCACCCATTTCATGGGGCTGCATTTCATCTTAGTTTAAATAAAGCTCTAAGGCAGGACTGCACTTACAAACCTAAGTGTACTTTTCATGCACATAAAAATTTAGTTCCTCCTGTCACAACCTCCTGTGTTCCCTCTGTATCTTCTTGCCTTAGCCTCAATTTTTATGTTCTTACCACCATGACATGAAACCTACAGCACTTACTTGCTAAATGTTGTGCAATAAGTCTATATTTTGGAGTGTCTCAGTGCAATCACAGCTTCTGATTGCGACAGAATAAGGTGTGGAAAAGACATTGACATGACTGAACTGAAGGGGAAAGGCCAGGAGAGGACAGAGATTGGTGAGTCATCAAATACAGCTGTAATTTTGTCACAGGTCATGGTGGTCACAGAAATCATGAATTTGAACTGTCCGTGAAATATTGGCAATGACTGTAAAAAACACATTTGATTAGGCCTCCCAAACTGAGTGGCATTGAGATCTGGCACATGAGGTCACAACACCACTCAGGTTTGGTCTGTTCACATCTCCATAGGGGCAGGTAGGCCAAACCTGAATGGTGCTGTGATGTGACCCCATGCACCAGGTCGCATTTCCCAGAGCAGGGAGCCAGGCCTAGTTGCATGGGATAGGAGCCTCTGCTGCAGGATTAGTGCAAGGTGAGCGCTCTCTCCAACACGTTGCAGCCTCACCTTTCAGTACCTGTGCTATATTCTTGTGTATGTTAATGTAGCAAAACCTACATTATTTAGTGACTTTTCTGTGACTTATTTTTCCCCACACCTCTGCTGTGAAATTTACTACAAATTTCCATAACAAACTCATAGCCTTAATCAGCAATATAATAATACCTATCTCTTATATAGTGCTTTTCATAAGCCTATCTAAAAGCATTTTAGAAAGGAAGTCAACATTATTATCCACATTTTACAGATCAGCACAGAGCAAGGAAGATTGCAGAGTCAAGAAGAGAACCCAGGTTTCCTAAGTCCCAGTCTAGTGGTTTATTCACTTGGCTATGCTTCCTCTCTAAAGCAATCTAGCAGAAGATGATTAAAGAACTAGAAAATGAAGCCATGGTGGCAGATAAGATCATTCCATGGCAGGGTATATAGAAAGAAGAGAGAACCAAGGACAGAGCTTTGAAGGATGCCATTGGAAAAAGGTGAGGAGAATGAGAAACAACCATTTGAAAGAGACACAGTGAACTGTCAGTGAGGTTGGGAGGAACTGGATGAATCAAAAGCCCAAGCAGATGAGGGAGTGATTGACAGTAACGGAAAGGTCAACGCAGAAAAAAAATGACAATAAGGTCTTTGGACTTGGCAAGAAAAGTGATCTTACTGGAGTGGAGGGTGCAGAAGCCAGGTGACAGTAGATCAAATAAGGAGTTAGGGACAGGGAAGTCAAATCTAAGGTGAAAAACAAGAGGGCATGTTTTCGGAAATAAAAGGGCAATGGGTATGTCCTAGTAGAAGCAAGATTGATCTACACAAGTGATTCTCAAACTTCAAGACATTGCATATCACTTCCAAGACTCAAAAGTATTTGGCATACCACCTTCATAATTGATTTTTAGTAGATTGTTATTCTTTCCCTATACCTCAAATTTACCCATATACCATATGACTGAGGTTCACACACCACAAGTTGAAAATCAGTTCTCTAAGGAGTTTTTATATTATCTAGGCTACTGTATAAAGGTATGCTGTATGAAAGTAGGAAGGAAATAAAGGGGATCAGGGAGAGGGAGGAAGTGATAGAAAGTACAACAGAATTTAGATTCATCTGAGTAAAGAGATTTAGAGACAAGAAGCAGATATAAGGACATTTTAAAGTTAGAAAAGTGGTAAAAAAGGAGACAAGGGAGTGTAGCTGTCCAACTCTCAGCCTGGGCTCTACCAAAATCTTTTTGAGTCTCTTCCCCCTAGGTCTCTTATGGGCGCCCCCACTCCTAGGCAATCTCTCTGTTCCCAGCAGGAGTTCAGCTCACTCCCAGCATCATTTCTGAATCCAATTACTTCTAGTCACTGGTGGCAGTTCCCGGGTCCTGACACAAGTTATTGGCTGGGAGCAGCCCTCCTGGGTCCCTCACTGTATCAGGATTGTAGTGTTAGTCTGTACCTCAAAGTGTGTGAGGGGGCGGTAAAGAGGAATGGAGAGAGGAAAGGCTAGCCACTGCCTCAGGCTGGGCTAGGGTGACCAGATGTTTATAGGGACAGTCCCAATATTTGGGTCTTTGTCTTATATAGGTGCCTATTACCCCCCACTCCCGGTCCCGATTTTTCACACTTGCTATCTGGTCAACCTAGTCTGGGCTCCCTTTAGTACTGGAGCTCCCTAGCAGCCTTTCCTTTTGGGCTAGGGTGACCAGATGTCCCGATTTTATAGGGACAGTCCCGATATTTGGGGCTTTTTTTAATATGGGCTCCTAAGGCTATTACCCACCCACCCCCATCCCGATTTTTCACAATTGCTATCTGGTCATCCTATTCTGGGCAATGCTCTCGTTGTCAAAGGGGGGGAGGGAGAATGTCACCTTTGCCTTTTTCAAGTTGCACATGTTCTGCAGGTGCACGTAATTGGCACTAGCTGAGTACAGGAATACTTGCTAGCCTATCACTGGGATGTGGGTGTGTCCCATCACAGGGAGGAAGTTCTGATGATGAAAAGGAGAGAAGGGTGTGAGCAGAGAATTCTTTTTTTCTTTGAATTTTTTAGAAAGATCCTGCTTAGAAACGAAAGAGTGTTTGAGGAAGGAATCAAAGGAAGAGAAAAATCATTGGTGTTTGTAGGCATTTGAGTCAATCGAGATGAAGAAATAAAGGAAAGATGTAAAGGAAGATGGCAGAATGGAATGGAGAATACACGTGTAGTGGAGAAATTCCATTAATTATCATATTTAAGTTCAATGTATATAATTATAATTTTACAGTAGTAGCTAATTAAAACATCCACCGCTATGGTATTCTCCAGATAGCACCCTTTTTACTTAAAAAACAAACACACACACAAAATGAATAAAAATAAATGTTTTCAGTAAAAGCAAAATTAGGGAGACCACACAAACAAAACCACCATGTGGGTATTTTATGAGGTGTTCTGTACCTCTCAGAAAGTGTCCCTCTTTAGGTCCAGGGTAGAAACAGGTGGATGGGTATTTTACAAGGGATGACCAATTCCCATCAGAATGTGCAGTTGTAGATTGCTTTTGCCAGGAATAAAAATGACTGACTGGCTGGCACATGCTCAATTTAGGCAAACCACCCCTTGCCACACATGGCATAAAAGGCAGTAAGATTTGTCAGCCATATTAGGTATGGGCAAATGTGGCCATTTTAGTGGCCATCTTAGTTAAGGTCAGGAAGCCCATAGAATTTTATGGATGACAGCCATCATAGTTAAGGGCAATAAGGCCACACTGTATGACCATATTGGATGAGGGAAATGGAAGGGAGGGCACAATCACATTTCTCTTCCTAGGCAATTGGTGTTTATTTGAGGCCAATGGAATGAAGTAGCAGTTGAGTCATGTCCACACCTGCCTAACTTCCTGGCCTAAGTGTCTCAGGATATCAGAGTTTCTCAGGTCCTAAGGATTGCCTCAAAATCTCAGCATCTTTTGCTGCAGTGGCCCCCATGAATTCCAATTTAACTGTAATCATTCAGGGAAAAGATCTTGGTGTTATGAGCAACTCAGTGGAAAGATCTGATTATTGAACAGTGGTGATCAAAAAGGCAAACAAATTATTTGGATGTGTAATTAAGAGGTATTCACACTGGAAGTTGTGAGCATTTGTCTGGGAGTCATAACCATCCTGCCTTTCTCGAACTGCAAAATGGGAGGGGGCTACGACTTGATCCTAGCTAAATGGGTGGGGTGCTGCTGACATGCAGGTCCTGATATGGAAAATTGACTTGCAGTATAGAAAAGATTCAGAACTCCTGGTGTAAGAATGATGTAGAAAATAATATTATAGTGCCATTATATAAACCAATAGTACACACTCACCTGGAACAATGGTCAGCCAATGTCAAGTAAGACACAGCAGAAACAGGGGGCTCCAGATACCAACAATTAAATTGAATAGCAACATGGAGAGACTTCCTTATGGAAAGAGATGAAAAGAATAGGATTTAAATTTAGAGAGGAGCTGGATAAGGCCCCAATCTCTCAAATACTTACACGTGTTTATTTTACATCAGTGGGGCCTGCTTACTGTATCTGAGAGTCTGCATCTCTTCTAGTGTGCTGCTTTGGAAGCAATGGTAACCAGTGGGTTCTAAAGAGACAGATAGTAGGACAATGTTTTCCATTAGGGGCCCCTAATTCTGGAACTCACTCCTCACCCTGGTTTATCAGGTGCTGTTTTTTGTTTGTTAGTTTTGGTCTTGGTGGTTTTTTAAATTTTGTTTTACTCTTCCACACATACTGCAAGTTGCATCTAGATTTGCAAGTATTTGAGGAGAGATCGGTTTGAAAAATGTGATGATTGTATGCGGGAGGTTGTTTTGGTAAGGTAATTTGGAAGTTTGTAGCAGAGCTGTGAATTGACAGATATCTGCATCCTAGTCCAATACTTTTACAAGACCAACTTTCCTCAAACCCAAGCTATACACTGCCAAACTGTCACAAAAGAAAGCATTATTGCAGGGTAACAGGCAAATACATTTCCTGTGAACCATATTACAGATAATCTGCATGTTCAAACAAGAATGTTTTGTTCACAAAAATCTTCTGATATCCACTAGAGGGTTGGAGGGAGATGTGGGCAATCGAAAATATTTAATATGTGTGGAAAGTATACTATCTTTATTGTAAAAAGTCTCCTTTTTGCTGCTATGATGCAGTGATTGGAAACTTAATCTTTTCTTAGGTAGCAGAAGTGCTTTCACAAAATTAATTAATGAAGCGGAAACAGCATTATGACATTTTGGTCACCCCCTCTGTCATTGTTGAAATGTTCCTGTTGCAGTAATTAGTAGAGTAGCTAGTATTATCTGAATGCATGGTAATTCAAGCCTTCAGAGTGTCTATGGGTGCAAATGAAGTAGTAGCAAAGCATATCAGTTCTGAATTATGCAATGATCCAGTCTGAATCCCTGAAGAGCTTTTTGTCTGAGAGCTGTACAACACAGATGCATGGCCTACAAATATGTTCTGTAGTAGGCTGTCACTTTCTTTGCTGATGCATTGGAAATATATGATGAAAGAACATGTCGCCAGAATGCTGATCTTTGGTTGGTTGCAGTGACAGAGAAATATTTACTAATGGGTTATTTGCTATTTTAATGGTTGGTGTTGACTGATAAAGGGCCAGATTTTACTTGGCGTTTGTGCAGATAAGTATGTGTTGGGGAAGTCAAGAAGCCTGTCACAAATGCAGTACATCGAAGGACTGGTCTACACTTAAAAGTTTCACCAGTACAGTTATTGGTTAGGAGTGTAATTTTTACCAACATAATTATGCAAGTAAAAGCCCTAGTGTCTGTGGATGCAATTATACCTGTATAAAAATGCCTTATACTGGTATGGCTTATTACATTTCCTGAAACTCAACAAGTTATACTGGTATAACTGCATTCCCACTTTAAGTATATTGGCATAGTTAAATCAGCAAAACTTAGGTCCTTAGGGCATGTCTACATACCTTTGTTGTATCAATTTAACTATATCGGTTTATAAATTATAACTATATCTATTTACTGAAACAATCTATACTAATATAAACACCTTTATATTGATATAACTGCATCCACACTACAGATTGCATTATATTTAATTATATTATTACTAATTATATTGGTTTCCAAACAGTAATATAAAGCCAGCATGACTGGTCTGAAAATCCTGTTAGCAATGAGGAAGAAGTGTTCGGCATTACTCTGCTGAGGAGAGTGGACTTTCACACCTTCATGCCTCACTGAAGTTGAGGCTTAAGGGCACATGGCGTGCCAGCATGGGACAAGAGAGTAGCTGCTACTGAGAAATAACCAGTGTAGGTTTGAATCCTAAAGTTGTATAGATCTGAGGAAGTCCAATCCCATCTGCTGTACAGGACAACTAAGCAAAATGATAAAAGCAGGGCATCTATTATGTGTGAAATGTTTGTAATGATATGTACAAGTGTAGTTAGAGGAAACTATTGTTGTATATAGAAAAAATAATATTACTTCTTAAAAAAATAAAGCATTTAAAAATATTAATATTTGTTGCTTTTTTTCATTCCTTTAAAGACACAGTGTCAACCTGTTAAGGCCCCACACTTTCCTTTCCTTAATGGAAAGTAAAACCCACATAGTGCACCTGGAAAATGATTTTTTAATAATATCCCCACTCACAAACCTTTGTTAGCCTGGAATTATGGTTGAAAAAAATCTATCACTTCAGGGAAGAAACATAAAACCCTGAGAAAACATTGTTTCTCAGAAAACAAACATTAGCTTGAAAATACAAAGGACCCTCTAATTGCTTGTGTGGCATTGATATGACCCAATAAATACATCCTAAAGCAAAAAACAGCTAGCATGGGGGTGTTTAGAACATACAAAGCTCAAAATATGTGCAGCAATGGCTTTTAATTACTTCCCCATTTAACAGATAGGGAATGGAGCACAGAGTAATCTAATGTGTAGTCTGTGTAAACTGCCTGTGTAATCGAGGGCAAGAGCCAGGAATAGGACCCTGATCTTTTAAATCTGTCTAGTGTCTTAACAATGAACAACAGTATATCTCAAATAATCAAGCCCCTGCCATTGCAGGGCTCTCAAGCATTGGTGCAGCTCAGTTCCTTCTGCTCTCTACCTGTGACACACTAGTTGAGTCCTCCTGAGGGCAGTAATACTTTGGTCTAATTCTGGTTGTTTGGGCTTGGTGCAGAGGTGAGGGGGTGGTGTCTAGTGTCCTGGCAAATAGGGATCTGGTAGTCTCTTCTGGCCTTAACTCTGTGACATGGCATGAGCCCTGTCGGTGAACAAGGAAGACGGGGAAGATGCCACAGCATGGGCCATGGCAGCCTGCGAGATGGAGGAACTGGCCCCACGACCCTTGTGAAGCCAGGGGTCAGGTACCATTAAAGGGCCAAAGATGGTATCACGGCTGTTAAAGAGGGACTGGCAGGTCTCCCCTCCTCTGTGAGGCCACAGCGGGCAGGGCGACAGTGGTCAAAGTTCAGGGCCTGCCCCAGTGGCTGCACCCTCTCGCCTCATACAATGGAGAGAGCTTTGGAAACTCTCCCGCTGCGGCGGGCGGTTTCTTTCCCTTGCCCGCTTGGGGACACTTTAGACCAGGGGTCGGCAACCTTTCAGAAGTGCTGTGCCGAGTCTTCATTTATTCACTCTAATTTAAGGTTTCGCGTGTCAGTCATACATTTTAATGTTTTTAGAAAGTCTCTTTCTAGAAGTCTGTAATATATAACTAAACTATTGTTGTATGTAAAGTTAATAAGGTTTCAAAATGTTTATGATGCTTCATTTAAAATTAAATTAAAATGCAGAGCCCCCGACCGGTGACCAGGACCCGGGCAGTGTGAGTGCCACTGAACATCAGCTCGCGTGCCGCCTTTGGCACCTGTGCCATAGGTTGCCTACCCCTGCTTTCGACTCTCCCGCTCTTCCCTTCCCTCCCCTCCCCAACTAGTTTGGACGCTCCCGTCCCCGAAGAAGACGGAGCGCGCAGCGCGTCACGTGACTCTCTTTCTACCCTGCCGCCCTCTCCCCGTTTGTTTGCGGGCCGGAGCCGGCTCGGCCGCGCCATGTCCGTGCGGGAGCAGAGCCAGAGCGGCGCCCTCAGCGCGGCCTCGCGGAGCTCCTGTGAGGCGGAGGAGGTTGCGCCGGGCCGGTGCCTGTCGCTGCTGCCCTGGGACCGTTTCTCGGCCTGGCTGCACTGCGTGTGCGTGGTGGGTTTCGACTTGGAGCTGGGCCAGGCCGTGGAGGTGAGCGACAGGGGCGGGAGGGCCCCCTCTCTCCCCAGCCGGTGGAGCTGCCTGTGCGCCGCTCTCGGCGGGGTCGGGGTTGCGGTATCCCACCCTGGCTCCTTTGCCGCAGGGAGACTCTGCCGCGCCGACCCCTGGCTCGCCCGGCCCTTGGCACTGAGGAGGGGAACGCTCCGGGCCGGGGGGCCGCTCTGCGCCTTCCAGGGGAGATGCCTTCCGCCTGAGGCGCTCACTCTGCACGAAGGCGCCTCACCTGCCAGCCTCCGTCCTGCGTGACCCTGCAGGTCAGCGGCACTGGCGGGGGCCGTTTGGGTTTGGGCTTTTGACAGCACTTTGTGTAGAGTCAGTTTCACTATCGCTCTCCCGGAGTCGGGCACTTCCCCTATTGTTTGTGTCACACAGCAACAGAGGAAATTTAAAAAAAAAAAAGGGGAGCGAACGAGAGATTTGATTGCATGAAATCAGAAAACTCGACTCAGAGGTAAGGGCAATATATTGAACTACTTTAGACTCATGGTCTTAAAACAGCTAGATTTTAAATTGACTGGGTTCCTCTACATTTGAAAATAAAAAGCAGGCAAACACCAAGACAAGTAATATAATTAATTAGCTTCAAATAATTGTTTAGCCTATGCCCATCACCCCATGCCCATCACCCCTCAGTGCATTTTTCTGAGCTATTGTCATCTTGATCCAAAACGAGTGTGTTTTTCACATTTCTCTAATAGTATCATTTTCATAGTATCTAGGTGTTAAATAAAGGTTTAAAAGATGTATTGTAGCAGTCTGAGTGTAGACCATCTTCTCAGTCTCCTCCAGATCACTAGTAAGTATATACTGTTAAATTTCTGAAACCCAGACATTGCAGCTCTTAACAAAGTTGAAACAGACTTAATGGTGTTTCTTTGTTATAGCCGAGAGAAATGTAAATAGAATAAATAGCTATAAGTAAATTGAAGTTAAAAATTTGATTTGGTTAATGTTATAATGTATTACTAACAACAAAGATAAATTAATTTGTTTGCAACACATGACTTAAACACTGTCCTTTTAGCTTTTCTCAGCAGTGAGGAGAGCTCACAGTGGCCCGTATTCGGCAAATGCTTATGGACATGCTTAACTTTTGCCACGCAAGCAATCCCATAAATTTCTATGGAAATCTCTTTTTAAAATTAAGTATCTGCATGTTTAGGGTCTAAGACTTTTCTATCAGTTAAACTGTCTTTAATCAGCAACAAGATTTTCGCCTTGAGTAACAAAGTACAGGTAACTTTCTCAACCCTATGAGATGCCAAAAGGTATGGAAGTTACAAAGTGAACACTTGTTTTTCTCTTAACTGGAATTAATGAACATACATCTGGTCTTCTGTCTTGAAACTCTTTCAAAGGAAAGAGGGAGCAATACTGTACCTGGCGTATATAGAAAACTGCAAGTCTGCAAGACTCAGTAAGGCTGTCTTATATATTTCTTTTCAAACAGCCGGTAAAATTTGGTTGTCTCCAATGCCCACTATTTTCAAATCACTTTGCATTGCCTCTATTTATGAATTGTGGCTTAGCTCTCACCATTAAATGAGGTTTTATTAACGCTGGTTTGCTGAAACTCTGGTATTCATGGTTAAGGTATTTGAATGCCATTATAGCAAATTAGATTCTATCCCGGCCTCTTCCACAGTTCCTATGTGATATGAGGCAAGTAATGTAAACCAAAACTTTCCACAATGATCTATAGTGGTTACAGACCCTTTTGCCCCTGTCATATCTGGCCTCTCCCCTCCACTGCTGCTATTCCCCTGTCCTCAGCCTCTTTTTGTCCTCTGCCTGTGTCCCCTTTTCTTGTCTTTGTCTCCGCCCCCCCCCCCCCCAGTTCTTTGGCTATACCTGGCTCCTATATTTACCCAGTCCTCCCCTCAGTTCTGTTCCCCTCTCATCCTGCCCCTTTGTCCCCTTATTGCATTCCCCCCCCCCCTGCAATTTCTCACCCCTGTGCCTTCAAATCAGGCAGTTTCCTCCTCCTCCTCACTGCCTGGGTACCAGCAATGGGAGCATTGGGAACATTTGTCCCCAGTTCTGGTACTTGGCACCACCAGTCACCAGTAGGGTCAAATGCAGGGAAAGTGTTGCCTTCATCCCTGCAGTCCTGGAATGGAGCATGCTTAGTTGCTCTGTTGGGATAGTGCATGTTGACATCTGTTAGGTGTGAAGTACTGGAGCATACTCAGTACTGATGGAATCTTCAGAGAATTAAGCTGCCTAATTCTAGCAAGTCTCTACTGAGCATATGCAAATGGAGATTTTTCAGAGGATTATAATGTGGACAAATTTTGGCTGACTTTCATGGTGGCCCCAAAAGGCACATCCTTGACACCTTGGTCGACCCCCCCCCCCCCACCTCCTGACAAATTTCAAGTATTTCTTCTAAAGCATGGAGACACCAAAGTTTCTCAACATAATAGTGGTAAAAAAAAAATTAATATGGGGAAAACAACATTTTCCCCATGTCTCATTCTGAGAAATGTTTGAATTGTTTTAGCTGAACATCGCCCCCCCCCCCCCTCGAAAAAAAAAATCAATCTGAGGCAGGCACCAAGCATAAAGAATTTCCAACCAACCAGTTTGGTAAAGGTATACACAACTGGCCCCCCACCTCCTTCCAAAAAAAACCAACCCCAAACAAACAATCGGAAAGTTTCAGGCAGCCTTAACTAGAGATGTTGCTACCTGTGCTGCCTATAATCAGATGTAAACTGATCTAAAGAAGAGTGTGTCTGTATTAAGTGTTGCACCAGTTTAACTAAATTCATTTTTTTAAATAATAATTTAGACTGGTGCATTTTCTATGTAGATAAGGCCTAAATTTCTGTGCTGCTAACATCCATGATACTTCTGTCTGTGATGTGCTCTGTTTGAGGTCTGAAAAGGATGAGGCCCATGTAATAATAGAAAAGGAGACCAATGAAAACCCTGGCTACTACTGCTACAGGTGGTGTTGGTGACTTGGTATATGGAAGTTTTCCTTCTGAGTTTTTATTGAATTAGTGCTCCAGCATGTTATCAGAGATTGGTAGGCTGCTGGAGATCTTGCACTTCTCATGAGAGAAATGAAGTGCTGTCTACCTGTGATAAATAAAATTTGGCACTTTTTGCATTGGTAGAATGAAATTCCTGTATCCTGGCCATATTTCGGTGTTGGTAATTACATTAATCCTACTTATATTTTCCCCGCATTTTCATTTGGAGACAGTATAAAC